GCGCCGGGGGGGGGGGGGGGGGTACAGCCATATATGGGCTATATAGGTATGTGCCGCTGTGAAGGGTATGGTTTTCAAGCAGTTTACTCTAGGATAGGGTATATAAATCAGAGCGTTTGGGCCTAGAATAGGGTATTATTTTTCAGGAAACTTATCAGTTGGTTGAAGATTTTAACTAGACTAGGGATTGTGGTATAAAGTTTTGTTCTGGCTAGACTGTGCTATTGACCTCTGTAGAGTATGGAAAACAGGTACTCTAGGATAGGGGGGAATTCGGAAGTTTGCTCTAGTATAGGATAGCAAAATTCAGCTGAACTAGCTCTGGTATAGGTTAAGGGTTCCAGGGTCCCAGCGGCACATCCCCACCCAGATATTCCTAAAGTACCCCCCGGGGAAGCGCGGCTCGCTTCGCTTGCCATGGATTGAGAATTTTTTCACAGGTTATGCTTCACTAGGCGTCTGCTACCCACTTTCAAGGCGCGTGAAATAAAATCGCCATTTACTCGAAACCTATACCACAAACTGAGCTTAAAAATTATTAGGCAAAAATTAAAAATTATCAGGAGGTCTTGATCTACCAAAATCCGGTATCAGACCTTTCTGACCCGTGGGTTGAACGAAACGACAATTTTCCGAACTCGGCTACTGGACTAAAAGAACCTCGATAAAACCAACGATTGCAATCTTGGATCCAAGTTACACTGACGAAAAGCCGGAATCTATTACCTAGAATCTGGAATCCACGGCGTGGAATCCAGAAAACAAGACTGTCTTGGATTCTCGCTTAAATGGGTGGTTAATAGTTAATAATTTCAATTGACCCTTAACAGATCACAACACTATTTAAAGAATGTTAAAAATCATTCTAGAACTTTGGGACTCCAATTATCGCATGACTTTTATGGGTTAATAGTTTCCTTTGCACAAAGGTTTGATGCATATTCAATTAATTGAACGGAGGATGGGTTTCCGCGGAAGGGTGTTTGAGAACAACCGATTAATCTGTTTCTAAAAACTGGGAGATTCTTCATGGAAAGTCGGCTTGGTGCTTATTACTGATGCTATCATCTACGGCTTTATAGTTTAAATGTTTTACCGACTGTTTAGACCATAAAAAATAAGGTTATATCTTTTCCCTCTAGTTAGGCAAGGGTTTACTTGATTAAGCAAGCGTACGTTCCCTGCATTTACCCTGTTCATAGGTTCGTGCAGTCAATTAACAAAATAAAGTTAATTACGTGCTGTGATCTGCAGACATCAGTCTCCTTTCCGGGGGAAAAACACCTTGATCAATTTGTTGAAAATAGCCATCCTTTGTTCAAACGAACAAAGCTGATTCAGGTTGTGAGTTGCAGTCATCCATTTCGTTCTTTTAAAGTCTACCGACTCCTTTCAATTTGTTACGAAAAGCTTTCATTTGACGAAGTTATAACTTCCGCAGTGCCCTGCAGCATTATCAAATTGTGCTTTAAAAATGAGACACTCTCCCGTGATTTTAGTCTCCGACTAAGGCTACTTGCTGCAACTACGCCTGTCAGATTCTCCTGACTAACTCAGTGATTCTCTGCAATACGTAAGTACTAAAAGTAGACGTCCGACAAAAAATGGGTTTTGGAATTAATACATGTAGATCTTGAACTTAACAAACATTATCGTTACTTTAAGTATGAATTCCTTTTTTTGAAGATTAGCCCCTGCAATTCTCACTTAGCATCTTTGTAACTGCGACTTTTGAAATAATTGAAATTTATACAGATTTTGTCATTCGGCTCTGCCCACTGAAATTATGTTCGACTTTAGGATCATGCTGATTAACACTCTCTGAGCACTGACAGCTAGCCTCCTTTCTCCTCCTAGTCGAGGAGAAGAAAAAGGGGTTATTCCTGAATATATCGTGTCAAGCCTTTGAGATCGCCGCAGCCCAAACTTCTGGACAAGACACTCTTGTTTTTTCTCGTCAAACTGGTTTTTCGAGTGGGAGTTGCGTTTATTGCGATAAACCGAAGGGTTCGCAACTGAACTTGCTGTACCAAGCTCAAGCCTTTGGGTGAAGGCTCGAAACGGTATCCTAGCTACATGCAGCGCCTAACGCAATTGCTCAACAAAGATGTTGGTCGATTATAAATGCGAATCTTTCTCGCGTACGCCAACAAAATCGAGCAAGTGAAAGAAATTCTCTGGTGGCAGGTTGGCTGATTAATTGTTTTCGCTTGAAAAAGCAGACAGAGATGCAAAAAATTGTCACTGTCTGAGAACACACTAAGCATTTACGGAACTTCTCAGTGATTTATGGGCAGTTTCTTAGAGCCATGCTATTGCCATTATTTTCGTTTTAAATGCTCAGTGAAACAAGATTACATTAGGCTGTATGGAATTGTATACTGAGAAACTGTTAAAAGTCTAGCCGTCTTTAAAGGATGATCCACTTGCAAATAGTTTTGTAACGTTGGCTACTTTATTAACGATTTTTATTATCATCACGGTCAGAAATACCTTTTCTCATTAACACAATGAACAAAATTTCATGAAATTAAATGCTATGAATATGTCGCAAATGCACCTCAAAACGCTGGAAATTTTGATTTCCGGGAGTCTTCCCCAGACTCCCTAATTTTTCTCGCCATCAGCGATCGTTACTCCCCACTCCCCATCCCCCCCCCCCGACCAATTCCAAATTTTACTTCGCGGTCCCTGAAATAACAAAATCACTGCTTCCTGTCAAACTAATTTGAAGTCTTCAAAGCGTTTTACAAACAATAGAAATAAACTTTGACACAGCTCTGAAAGGTTGGGTGAGTTGTTATTATTAATAAGTTCTCTTCGATCCGTGAAGTCAAATTAGCAAAAATTAATTGCGTGGTCTTATTTGCAGTGATCAATGTCCTTTACGTAACAAAATAAGCTTGACCGACTTGTTTCGAAAACAGACTGATTCTTTGTTTAGTTCTAAATGGACACAACTGGTTCAGATTGTGACTTGCAGTCAATCCGTTTACTTTGTTTTCTGAAGATAGCCTTTTTACGCTGACTTTTTTCACTCTGACGTCGGTTGGTTGTTATTTTGTGGGCTAACTAATGCTCATACTCTATCTTTGTATGCGACTTAGTGAAAAGTCTGAAATTTATATACACAGATTTTGTTCAAGTTTGCCATTCAGCCGACTGAAATTATATTCGACTTGATAATCATGCTGAATTGCAGATAGAAATACTCAAATTCCACGCACACCCAGTGCACACTCAGAGATTACCGAATCTCTGTATTTACAGTCAGTTTTTCGGAGCAATGCATTTGTTCCCGTGACGTCACTCCTACAGACAATAAGCCGGCAATTATTGGATTCGGCTTTCACACGATCCGAAGGACTACGCAGATCGAGGAAGGTGTTATCTGAGATCTGCATAATTTTTCAGATTAAGCGAAAGCCGAATGCAATAATTGTTTTATGATTCAATCAAAATCATTTATACTTTAAAAACAAGCAAAAACCTGCTTACCTCAGTACTATTGGGGTCCCCAATAGGGTTTCTCAATCTCGTGATCCCGACCAAGATTTCGAGCAATCCCGTAATCCCGAGGGTTATTTTTGGCATCCCACCTCTCGCGCATACTTTCAATCCCGAATCCCTCCCTGATTTTGCTGTAAAATCCCGAATCCCGAGCTTCAAATAAGGGAAATCCCGTATCACGGAAAACCTATTGGGAACCCTCTACTATGTTGAGTTCCCGCCTTCATCATATGTCTCTTCTTCGGCAAATTTTTCGTTACGTGTAACGTTTCCATGTTTTACTCTTGCTTTTTTCCTTCTTGTCCCACACATATATCAACGATTTTGTTAACTCTTGCACTCATGAAGTCATTAATATGAAAAAGTTCAGTTGTGAATTTTTAGTCTTTAAATAAAATCCTATGGAATCACCGTTCAAACGAAACCTCAGTCCTCAGCAGTATTTTCACACGACACTATTTATTTTATAGCTTTCTGTGTCCGTGTGAAATTCTGTGTCAGCAGTCACCATTCACAGGTATTTATTGGTATGATATTTGTTTTCTGTATTCTTCAATATGACATTATAACATTTTCTTTCATTGGCTTTCACTTCAATCACCACTAGGATTAAACCGGCTGTTTAAACTAGGCTGATTTCTTTGTTTCTTGCAGATTACCGTATGCCAAAAATGACGACAATGAAGTTTCTTCTGCTGCTGATGGTGGTTGAACTGACACTCCTTCATCGCAGCGAAGGGAACCCTTTTTTTTTCTGGGCTCATCATAAACCCCATTGCGACTCAAGTAGGCCACCAAGAATTCATTGGGCCAACCGATGGCAACAAACTTTCGTGTACAGTTGTCCGAAGGGTAAGTTGATTTGAAAACCCACTTTTAGGCCAAGTTAAATGAAAACAATTAACAAAAGTAAAAAACGACCAAAAACAAAACCAAACCAAAAAATAGAGCAAAAAAAAAGTAAATGTTTCTCGTCCGGAGTTTCTATAGAGAAAAAGAGCGGACAGGTGCTTTTTTTGGTTGTTTCCTACGTTGTCATTATTGCCAATTTAATTCTTAATAATAACTAACTGATGTACGATTAAAAGAAATGATAAATAACAATGGTAGTAATAATAATAATAATCATAATAACTAACACATGATAAATTAATTATACGTCTTAGTACAGCAAATAAGTCTTACTTGCTCCCTTAAAATTGTCGATAGTACCTGCTCTTTGCTCCTTCTTTTATACAAATTATTACCGACCTCCTGGGGGATAAGCTGGAGTTCTTTGGTCACTTTTAATAAATGAAACGTCAGATACTAATTAGACACAAATTTTTGGTGTATTTTGATACATGTTTAAAAACAACGTGATGCGTCATACAACTTCAGTATAGGACTCAGTATTTAACAAATGCTTCGGTTTATGAAATGTAAGGCCTGCTTTGCAGGATTGTAGAATTGAATGGGCCCTTTGCAACTAGCCATTGGCGTGGTAGAAGACCGCCATGCAGGAGAGCAAAAGTTGCATTGGGACAAGACAAACATAGGAAACTACCATTTATAATTATGATGCCTTTTATTTGTCTTGTCCTAGTGCGACTTTTGCTCTCCAGCATGGAGGTGTTGTACCACGTGAATGGCTAGCTGCAAAGAGCCTATTGGCGTTGGAAGTAATGCCTGTTGATTCTTGTTCGTTTTTGCTTTTCCAATAAAAACAAGAGAAGTGGTCCCAAAACATGAGGCGGGTGGAACAAGAAACAATAATTTCTTTGTTTGTTTGTTTTTTTACATGGCCTCACTACTCTTTTTCCCTTCAAGCTTCTCTTTCTTTTCAACACAGCAGCCCCTTTCTTGCTTTGCGTGAACTGAAACTTGACCCAGGCTTAAGAACCGTATTTGAAAACCCTGTCTTTACTGCTCTGTCTCTCTCCTCCCCAGAGGTCTTTTTGTGTTGTAGGGAGGCGCGATGGGAAGGGGAAAGAGCTTTCTATTTTTCGATTATTGCTATTTTTATTGGGATACCCAGCGGGAGCCTCTACGGAGGAGAGAGCTGCCCTGTAGCTGATGGGTTTGTAAGTGCTGGATCATTCGTGCTGCAAGCAGTCGGACTTGCTTCATAGTGACATAAAAGGTTATTAATTAAAACGTTTCTAGGTTATTCTTTGAGTCGCTGGTACAGCATTCACAGGAACTGCAAAGAAGATCGCATCCATCACTTTGAGTGCCGTAAAGTGAATGAACCCGACAGCGCGCATTGCAAGTGGACTTCTTATGTAAACACTTATGACAACCCTGTTAAATTCAAATGTGGGAACAATGGCTTTGTAAGTGGAGTCAGAAGTGAGTACAGCTCCCATCACAAAGATCGCAGGTAACTTATGATTATTACTGAGTTAATTTTGGCTTTTTCTTCTTCTTCTTCTTCTTCTTCTTCTTACGGATCTTCCGCAAGTTTCAATTTACTTTTTGGTAATTTCGCATTTAAAATTAAACATTCCAGATTTAAAATTTTCAGGGTTTTTTTTTGTGTGTGCTATCCTCTGGATTTGCTTACTTTTTTCCTATCCATCTCCTCTGGGGACGTAGTCACGGGGTTTGGCAGAATTGGTGCAGAGAGACCCTTTGCACTGTCCGCAGACAGGGGACAAGTAATAGATCAGTCCTCTTTAGCTTGTATGTTTTGTTTTCCCAACTAGAGGTCCCAGGGGAACTTGCCCCTTGGTCTTTTCATAAATTATGCGTTCATATGCCCGTGAATAAAACGAAATTTCAAAGAAACAGTTCTCTAGAGTATTATGACACATGACCTGTGTGTATTGGGAAAACAAAAGTTACAAGCTAAAGAGGTCTATTGTAGAAGTACTGTAGTTCTAGTATAGTACATTTATAGATTTTACATGCAAACAACTAGTGAGGGCCTATCCATTTACCTACCTAGTTTATGAAATTACTTTTTAACGAAAAAAATAACAACTTCAAGACAAACAGCAGGAGGTATTAAATATGCCTCCCTAGAGTAGATAATTCAAAGTTACAAATACCAATGATATACCTCGAAAAACTGATTGACAACTAAGTAGTTTTTAAAACCCTCGATTGCAATTAACATTTTGAATGTTTCTTCAATATTATAAGCCGTTGCAATTGATTCTATATTTTGTTGAAGTTTTTATTTTTGTAGACTCCCATTGGGGGCCAGTTAATTTTTAAAAAATATTTTAATTCTTTCAATTCAGGTTCTGCTTCCTCTGCTGTAACAAGCCACGTTTGTTTCCACACGACTGTAAGAGCACTCCTCTTCAGAACAACTGGGACGCTGTACTGGACTACCGTGTTCCTAATGGTTACACCTTGGCTGGTGTAAACAGTCACCATGACAACAGTAAAGAGTAAGTACCACAGAGATATGTCGATTAAAAAAAATGGATGGAAACAGTTCAGATTGTGGGGACGGCGCGAACAGATGTGAGCAGAAAAGACAGTGAGGAGATGGAGTTGGGGGTGAGAGCTCCCTTACCTCGCGCCGCACTCCACTATCTGAACGCCTAGAACGGGTTAAAAAGAAAAAAAAAAGAACAAAAAAAAATCAACCCAAGTAAACACCTCTCTGTATCAAGACCCGGTGGAATCTATATCTTCACCGGTTCTCGGAGAAAATGTCACCGGAATGGCTTCTTTTCCACTGGTTGATCTTTGTTAGTTAGTTATCGCCCATAAAAGCTAAAAGGGGTGGCAGGCCTTAAATCTCTACCTGTGTGAAACCTTTGAAATCCTTTTGCATATTGCTCAAACGAGAACTATAAGATTTACGCGATTACCTGTTCCCTCCGATTTCTTTCTTATATTTTTACTTCTTTTAAACAAATGCGAATAACGAAATACACTGGCTTTGTAGAATTCACAGTAAAAAGTGACAGGGGCAAAAAATTAGCCGGGTAGGAACAAACTATTCGCCAGGTATCGGAAGGCTAAATAATCACCAGGTAGACTGAATTAGACCACTGGGTAGGGTTTCACTGAGTCTGTTACAGAGGAGTGTACTAAAAGGTGCGTAAAAACGGGCAACATATACGTGCAACTTGTCTTGCAACATTGTTGCAGAACAAGTTGAATAGCGATTTGGCGCATTTTACCACCCACGTCAAACCTGTCTTGCAACAAAACAGCTTGTTAACAGGTTTTAACACGGGTGGTAAAACGCGCAACACTTGCTTATTAACTTGTTCTTCAGTAATGCTGCAAGACCAGTTGCACGTTTTTTTTGCCCGTTTTTACGCACCTTAAGGAATGAATAATATGAAACGGACAAAAGTTAATTAAATCAACTGAAAGTACACAATTGAACTAAAATGAAACAAAGCGAAAAGGAAAAATGTTAAATTGACGCACTGAACAAATGAAACAAAGAAAAAATAAACCAAACCAATGACCAGGATAACGGTTGTTCTGTAAACGCCGACTCACCAGTTCCCTCTTTTTTAAATATTTAACGTTCTCTGTTTTATGTTTTGGTTAGGAAAAAACAATATGAAGTTATAAAAGAACATACCCCGACCCCGAACTAACCCAACCTCGTCCCCAGGGCGCTTTTTTTGAGGACGAGGTTGTACCTAACCTGCCAAGCGGTTTTTCTGATGTGTTTTTCGTTTGTGGTTCGTTAAGGGCCTGTTAACAAGGAAAGAGGGTTACCCTTTTACTAGGGTTACCATAGCAGGCGGGTTAAAGTTAACTCTGGTTTACAAGCAAATTTCACAGGTAGGGTTACCCTACCACCCGGCTCAACTTTACATGTCTGCGTGATGGGAACATTAACTGCCAACATGTGAAATCATCATTTTCGACCCCATGCCAGAGCTCTTCTAGCTTCATGCGCAGTCAGCTAAGGATCTGGTGACGAGATTGGTGAAATCATGTGAACCACCTTGAATCACCACCAGGGCCCAGTTGTTTGAAGGCCGATTAGCTCCAGCCTGAGGTTAAACTTTAATCCGGCTTTCTTTGTGTTTTATTCGAAAGCTTTTTCTGGGCAATTTTTCGCGATTCTTTTAAGTTCATCCAATCATCATATTGTAGACAAAAAGAACTAAACTGAATTTGCTTTTTAACCTTTCATATCTCAATTCAAATTTCGCTCAATCCCCGGGTTATCGATCTTGAACCCATCTTTAAAAAACTCGAACCAGGCTGGTATTTTTTTTCCCTATTGTGCAAACTAAACCCTTTGTAAACTTTTTCTAGGAATAAGCTGAATACTACTAAATACTCGTATTAGCTACAATCGATTTTTTTCCTTCAGAAAAATAACAAGAACCTATTTAAGAACCTAAAAAGCTTAAATTTGTGCTAATTACCATTTATGTATGACCATGTTTAGGCTAACTTGGAAAAATGCAAGTTCTACGCGCTCACAGGGTGCCCCAAAGAGTACTGTGCACATTACTCTGGGAAGGTCCGCAGTGCCCATATCAGACAAATAATTAACTCTTTGTTGCAGGACAGGCTCTTTCCTAATTCTGTATATTTTATAAATAAGTCATTTTCTTTATAGAATACAGCGTTTTACCTTTAAAACTTTCATCTGAAGCTTTGCTTCCTTTTTAATCTTTAGGGATCGTCGCTGGGCATTTGAGATCTGCAAGTTTCTTAGCTGTCAGTGAGCCGAAACGATGGGATTTAACAGCCAGACATGTGTAGATAACTCTAAACCATGACGTTCTAATGAAGAGAAATCCAACAGCCTCCTATTTTTCGTTTTATATTCCTATCCTATCATTAAATCGTTAAATCAATATAGTTAAGTTAATGCCTAGTAATGATTTTTTCTTTTTTAGACAATACAGTCAAACCTCTTTAATAAGGACACCAAAGGGACAGAACCAAGTGTCCGCTTTACAGAGGTGTCCGTATTATAGAGGTAGCGAATGTATAATTTTTGGCAGTTCTGGGACCAAACGAACTGTCCGTAATAGAGAGGTGTCTGCATTATAGAGGTGTCCGTAAGGAGAGGTTAGACTGTACTCGATTGCTAACGTCATAATAAAACCTTTTGAAAACAATAAGATGTTGTTGTATTAACAAAAACTTCGACATCCGACTTACAAGCGTTCCACGATCTAGACTCACCTCTCCGAAAGAAACATTCCCAAACAAAGCCTCAGATGGTTAAGGCCCTTTTTAGCCTTGCTCTTGGACTGTATGAATGCGAATTAAAGCTCATCTTCGGAGACCCAGGGGCCAGGAAACGGCTGCAAAAGTTTATTATAATAAGAACCCCTGGGATTCTACTGATCTAGTTATTACTTTGATTTTGGCAAAATAAGCTGGGAAATATACTTTTCAGACATTCTAGGTAGAAAAAAAAGAGAGTTTTTAGACTAAAAATAAGCTTAAGGAAAAATCGAAAAATTTTAATTTTTCCAAACGGATTAGTCCATGATTTTGGTCAAAAATTTGAAAAATTTCCATATTTCCTTACACTTAAGGAAAAGTGGCAAAATTCGAATTCTGACCCAAGGCGGTTAGTCCATGACTTTGGTCTAAATTTGGAAATATTTTCATAGTTGGTTTTTAGGAAAAATAAACAAGGAAAAATACTTTCCCTATATTCCAGATAACAAAAAAGGGTTCTTTAGACAATCAAAATACACTTCAGGAAGATGTACAAAACTGCAAAATATTTTTGGAAAATATTTATGTAGCTTTTTTTGGCAAAACGCCGTTGGAAAAACAACATCAAAAATGGCCAGGAAAAAAATCTCTTACAGTTTTTATCCGTTTGATCTTTAACTTTGCAGGGTGATACAACTTTTTATTGCGCATGTTTTGCCCGTTTCACTTTTTTGATTTTGATGGTTTTTGGCGGGAAAATGACGTCACAAGGTTGATAGCAAATTTGAATTATTATTAAAGAACACTTTGAGATAGAACGAAATGTGAAAACAATTTTTTTGAAAAGGTTAATTGGTTAAACGGTTATTCAGTTTTAAAGTTTTAAAATTCCGCGATTTTTGTTATTGTTTTAATTTTAGGGAGATGTGACATTTCAAAGCTTCATATCTTTTAAACAAAATAAGCTTTTTAATTTTTTTTTTTCACTTTCGATTCTATTGCCAAATGATCCTTCAAAAACACTAAACCCGTTTTGCCAATTAAAAAAATAAATTTTCGCGATCAATCCTGTGATGTCATTTTCCCCCAAAAAACCGTTATGATCAAAAAAGTGAAACGGGCAATCCCCACCCCCCTCCCTTTTCCCTTCGTCCCTGTCCCCTACCACTTTCGACGCCTGCTGTGCAGGTTAGGCCACTTTTTATGTTTTTGCTTCCAAGAGTGAAATATATAAGCCACGAAAAATACTTTTCCGATATTCTAGATAGAAAAGAAAGCTTTTTAGACTATAAAAATACATTTGAGAAAAAGTTAGAAAATTGGAGTTTCCATAATTTTGGTCAGAAAAATGAAATATCTTCATAGTTTCTTTTGAGGCAAAAGAGACCAACAGATTTACTTCCCTGAAATTCCAGATAGAAGAAAATAATTGGCTCTTTAGACATTAAAAATACACTTCACGAAAATATGCCAACAAGACGCCTAAAGTCGTTTCCGTGGGATGCGGTGGTCTATGGAAGCATAATGGCGTTCTATCTGAATTTGGAAAAATTAGGAAACCGGAAAGATGTGTCATGTTATGAGCATCGATGAGTAGGTTACCTGTATGGGTTGATTTAATGTGCTTATGACTGAATTTATAGTAGCCTGCGTGGCAGGCTACTATTTCTCCCCAATCCACTTCCCTTTTTTTGCTTCCTCCCTATCCCCTACCCCTTTCGACAGTGGTCGCAAGGATGGAGTTGATGTTGTTTTGATCTATCGCTATGTAGTTATTTTCGTAGCACGATTTGGATAAGAAAAAGCAGTTATTTTGCATCAAAACAAGGTTTACCCGTGTAACTTAAATTGGAATGTTAACGGAAACAAGTAATGGAGAACATGCGCATAATGCTCTCTGAACAGGAACTATATGTATAAAGATACGTCATATCTTGGTAGTAAGTTGCCACAGGTAACTTTTTCAAAGAGAAATAAACATTGTAGTTTTAGGTTAATGGAACAAAACAAAACAAAACATCCGCTTGCTTTATCCAGGGTCGAACCCAGCGTTTCAAAGGTCGATAAAGTTCCAATGTTTTAATCCAAGATGAAAGTTTAATATTCCAAGATGCTCTTGATACGGTTAAAAATTAATTGCAATGTGTTTCCAAGGTCTCAAAGTTAACATAGTTCCAATGATTATCCCTGATTCCAAGGTATAATAAGTTTACTAAGGTCCTGATCCGTGTCCCATCCAGAAATCCAATCCATGCCGAAAGCGAGTCGTCGATCAACGAGGACGATATTTTCGCGATTTCACCGCCAATGATCAAGGCTACGAGTTGAAATTTACGCGGTTTAACCTCCCATCGTCAAGGTGTTTTCGATAAGAAAAGAAAAAAACTGAACTCTAGCTGTATAGAAAAATCTATCGGAAATCACGGCCCGCAAGCAGACGCTACTAAAACCTTATGAAAAAGCTAGACCTAAACAAACATGAATCATGAAGGGAAGAAATAATTTGGCTTAGATCGCCTTTCGTGACTTGCCAGTATCCCGAAGGATTTCGCTGGTTAACAAGCCATCCTAAACCACGAGTGGGAAAACTCAAGGGCGACAAATTTGGCAAGGAACGTTCTGATTTCAAAGTTCTTCAGAGGAAGCAAATCGATTAAAAGTCGATACGGATTTTGTACAATATGATTGGTAGGCTTGGAAGAAGAGATAATCGATAAAGATTTTACGCAATCCTATTGGCTGGCTTTGCAATTTTGGGTACAACCGAACCGGATTTTTTACCGTGGGAGTGCCACAGGCATCCCACGGAACAAGACATTTTACAAACAGACGGGTTAGTC